AAATTGTAAAAAACTACCTAACAGTTACTAAAAAAGTTACGTTAAGTTTCATGTGGGTTTTTGTGGTACAAAACCGTACAACCAACGTTCCCAAATGAACTTCATACTATTGCAATATTGTATACTTTCGCTGTAGCAAATTATAAAATACTACCTGGGCGTTTCACAAACTGCGAGCAACTAACATGTAAGTACAAAGCAACCAAGAGTAATTGATTCTCCATAATTATTCAGCTACTCGCGGGGTACACATATACTGTAGCTTGCTTACTTCCGGCACGCATATCCTCCGCACACATACTACATACAGAACTGCCTCTGGCCAGCGCAACGAGCCATTGTGCTGCCACAGATTCACCCTACAGGCTGAGTTATCGGCATAATTCTTGTGTCCCCTTGGAGCCATTTATTTTGAGCACTTCCGGGGCACACATACACTTCACATATATATTACATTACAAAACAACCTCTGACCAGTTGAACGAGCTATTGTGCTGCCTCAGATTCACTCTACAGTCTGAGTAATTGCTGTCGCTACAGCCTTGGAACAAACACGCTTGACACTAACGAGGTCAATTCAGAAGTAAATTAGAGGTTAAGTTCACTCTCTATCTGGTGGGCTACTAGTACATCTTAACTCTTTTTGCAAATTGTATACGAAAGGAAACTGGCAAATCAAAGCACAGTATTCAAGTTGCCTTTCGGCGGGACCATTATTTCGCCGACAACAGTTATGGACATGTACGTTCATTCCTATCGTATTAACTTTTCTTTTACTGTATCCCTTGCCACCATCCGATTATTGATTACCCGGGCTACGCAATGTATGCGAACAATTCAGATGTAATACAATACCCTTTTTAAGTACCTTGATGCGCAGTCGCATCACCGAGATTCTACCTCACCACATGAGTTGACAATTCAGATGTAATACAATTCCCTTTTTAAGTACCTTGATGCACAGCCGCATCACTCGAGATTTCACCTCACCACATGAGTTGACAGGTGGCGTCTGTTCTGTGGTTTTCAGCAAAATTTATGTGGCAAGAATGATAACTCCTTGCCCGGATGCAACTTCAAATCGAAGGTGTGACAGATCCCCAGCACTTGTCGGACCACTGCAAAAGCTTGTTGGCTGTACCGGTGCATCCCAGAAGGTCATCAAGCCATCCTAGGACACCATGCATGAGCAGATCGCCGAACAGTTCGTCGACACATCTTGGCAATATACCACTGCGTCAGACTATCCCGTCAACACCCGGGTCGGCTTACCGACACCCGGTGTCATGAAGGAGTAATACTTCTGGGAATTGGGATGTAAAGTCAGTTGCCAATAGCCCTTCATCCATGCCAGCGTAAAGTAGACGCGCGAGTTCTTCAGCACACCCATTGCGACGTCGAGATTAGGCAACGGCCAAGGCATAGTCTCGGTGAACGCATTGATTGGCCCCATGAAGTCAATCGTCATCCACAGGTCGCCCAGGTCTTTCTTCAGGAAAATCCTCGGGGCAGCCGCCTAACACGACCGAGTGTTCCGATACACTAAGCCCGCCTCTTCCAACCCCCGCAGATGCTTTTTGAGAAACACCATGTGGGTCCTGACTTCACCAATACGGCCCCAGACTTGAGGTGCACCTTCAAAGGCTCCACTCGAACTGGATGATCTCGCCCAAAACTCAGTCGGCAAACACCTTGAAACTCCAGCATGATGTCTTGGAGGACTTCAACGGCAGATTATTCCATGCCGTTAGATGCTGCCTCGGCCACCTTGGCCATCAAGACGATACGAACTGTCTCGGTATCGGCCAGACTAGGTGTCGTCCCCAATTCTGGTGTCGCGCAACACATGCCTTTCTCTTCGTCAATATCGTCGGACAGCTCTTCCATGCGGAGGGTCGCTACGCCAGGCGTCATGTACGGCTGATCGACGAAATCCCATACCTCCTCCATCGCAGCCTTGGCTTCCTTGATCCAAACGCGTAGGCCACGTAACATGAGCGGTCCACACCCCGTATTGAACTCGAGACGTCCAAGGCGAACTTGCTTCGTCGCGGTGATCGGTCAACTGTCCGTGCTATAAGGCCGGAAGGTTGTGGGTCCAATCACCATAATTTCAAGAGATGCACCCGCTGCCAACAGTGCTGAGACTAGACCACCTGAAGCAACCGATAGGTCAGAACTCGAGTCCTGTACGACACCATTCATCGAGGCCATAAGGTCTTCACGGCCCACCTTAACGGCGTGCATAGGCATCATCACAACACTACCACCAGATGCCCGTCGTCCTCAGCCGGCGTCAGTCCGACCGTCACCACGGCTCCAGTCCCCACGTTTTTGACCAAGCGCCCGGCTATGTGCTTTAAGCAGCCGCACGGCTTCCTCGTCCGTGATTCCAGGACACTGACGGACCTTACGAGTGGTGGATTTACATTTGAAGTAGCCGTTGCCAGGCGTCGAACTAGTTCGTGCCTGAGACGTAGATGGTGCCGGGGTCGCACGCGGTGGCACTGGCGCTGAAGCTGGCCGAAATGTTTGGCCGCTTCCTTGCGGCACCCTCAGCGGGTCAGGTTTCGCGGCCAGCTTAGCTTCTTCGTAGCCGACGAAATGCTCGGATGAACACAAGGAGACTGCGCCCAAAGCGTAAGCGGTATACAATTGTTGTCGATGTTCGCAGTCTCCTCTGCGTAGGGGTAGAGTTTTTGGGCGATCAAGTTGTTGTTGTTGTCTGTGCACATAGCATAGTTTAATCAAGTAAAAAAAGTAACCGTCAAAGTGCGTCATAATAAGCTTTCTCAAGATATTCAATGCACTATTTATGACTATAGCTTAGTAAGCATAGTACTGTACAAGCAACATAAACACAATAGAAGTCTAATTTGACTGTATTATCTTATTTGTACAGAAAGTACAGTACATACATATTCCAGTACGTACATTACAACGCACATCAGTATATAGAAGATACTACAAGTACGTACTAGTACATGTAGGTGACACTAAGGGGGGTTCAAAGGAGTTAGTTAGTACGAGTACTAGGAGCACAATATTTAACTGTATACTAGTAGTGTGTACAGTATGTAATACTAGGAACGGAGTAGTATCATGTACTGTATGCGGATGTACGAATTGAAGTGGGGTACGACTAGTACTATTAATAGTCTACTGTACCTAGCAGTAGTATTTCCAGGAGTGTAATACAGTACTACTAGCAGTACTTACTAGTATTAGTAGTACTACATAGTACTTGAAGTACATACTTCTACAGTATGCAGTAGCGATCCCTAGTATTAGTACTACTAATAGAACAACGTAGTACTGACACTGGAATTGAGCGGTCTATTCAACGAATACGTAGTATAAATAACGTTACTACTACGTAGTATTAATCGAAGGATATGATGAACACAAGGAGACT